TCATATAAAGTCAGAAACTTCCTGCAACTAAACGGATATTGTTCTGGACGGCAAATTTATAGGACTGGCAGGAAATATTAGAAGAAAAATATGTCACAAAGATCGATGAAACTTTGCTGTATGCAACCCAGACAATCTGCTAGGCAAATGCATAATGAGTTCTAATATTTGTACAGGATTAAAGCAAAACCTTCCTAGGATCAGAGGAGGAGAGAGGGAGAAGAGTCGGTGACTGGACAGAAACCAACAGATGGGGATAACAAAAAGTGTTCAGAATAGGTGAAGGACAGCAGTGTTGGACCTGGCTCTTCCAGATGACTTTTTTTTTTTTACTTTTTGCACTGTGTATCATAAACAAATTTCATTTTGTAAATAAAATCCTTGCTTTCACCTTTCTTTAATTCTTTTTATCTGAATACTTCTGATCTTATGCAGCCTCTTTGTACATAATTCCTGTCTGAATGAACTTCAAAGACGCCTGCATAGTAATGTTTAGGGGGGGGGGGGGGGGGGGTCCTGATTGTGACACCAATGGACCATAACTGTGTAATGTGTGTAGTCCCCATTGGAAGCCTGTTCACAGCATGACAACACAGGAGAAAAATTGTAAGGCAACGACAATGTGTTGTCTCCCTAAAACAAGAAATTCTGAAGGAATCTCTTGTTTGTTTGTCTCCATAAAACAGGAACCGCTTGAACAAGGACCTTTATGGCTGTCCTACTGCACTGTGATCACAGGAGGTTGGCCAACTAGCACGGCTGCCATTCAGAGAATTCTTTGCATTCTGTGAACGAAAGCAAGCCATTCAATGATTGGATAAGGCGGAGAGTGTGATGCCACAGTCAGCAAATAATCTGAAATAAAGACTTTCTGTGCTTCTGAATAGTGTTTGAGGATTAAAGGGACAATCTCACAGAAAATCAGGTAGGGCCTTTCAGGAAACAAGGAACCTCATGCAGTTTTGCTTGATATCATAAATGAATAAAGTTACTCACATGGTGTTTTTCCACTGGATCTCAGACTGGAGTCTGTCCACTTCCTCATTTCTGGAAATAGAAAGAAAAAAAGTGACAGACAGTCTTCACATGGACCACTTGGAGTTTGAATCAAGCATATCAGTGAATTCTTTTCCCCACGCACACCCTTACTGTCATTCATGTGTAACTCCTCTTTCTACTTAGGCTATGTTTCCATTGATTCTTTTGAAACCATGACCAAAGTACATCTGACTCGATTACACCAACTTACCGGCCTAAACTGTATTAAACCTTTTCAGGATATGCAAGAGAAATTCAGTCTCCCAGGACTACAAATCTTTAGATACTCACAAACATTTTTAAACTTGCATTCTTTAAACTCAAACTTTCGTGAACCATTTCTCCTATTTTGAATACCAATGCTCCAAAGACCCCGACACTACAGGCCTAATCTCAATGCTCTACTCTGCAATGACTTCCAAACTTTCCTCACCCTCCTCCTTATACTAATAAATGGGCTGATGACCTTGGTATCACCCTTAAACCTGATGGGTAGGACCAAATCTGGTCTACCAGAAAGCCCTATACTCAGAATCTGACTCCCACAGAAACAAACTACAAAGTATTATCCTAATGGTATTTAGTCTCGAACAGGATTGCCAAATTTGCCCCTAACTAAACAACCACAGACTTCAGGGATCTACCTACACATATGGTAGATATGCCTGGCTGTTTGTGCATTTTGGGCCAATATTTGTGGAATAATTTTAAACCTCCATGGTTCCATCTTTCCAGACCCAATCATAGCAAGTAAATGACCAACTGATATTACTAACTCGGAATTCAAGCTCTGATTACAAATCTCCACTGCAAACAAATATTATAGCCAAGGCCTAAAAGAGTCCTAGACTTTGCCTTACCGAAACCAAAAACAGGGTTGCTCAAGCTATGATAAACTAAAAATAATTACTCCACACTACAAAATAGGATACCTAAGTACACTAAAATATGGCAGCCCTGGATAAGCCATCTTGCTTTAGACTCTTCTCTTCTGAAATCCTTTCACATTCACCTTTACGAACACTTACCATTACCACAGAACCCCATGGTCTTCCATTCACCACTCTAAAACCTGGGATTCTCTCTATCCATCCACCCCTACCCACATCATGCCCGTGCCTTGTCTCCATTCTTCCCCGGTTAATTCGGTAATTTTTTTCACAAGTACAAACACGTGTCATTTTACTATACTTTTCAGAAACGCTGTGTGTAATAGAAAATATACTGTGGACCATATGCAAAATGTATTATTATTTTTCTGTACCTTCAATACCTCATAAGACAAACTGTAGCCTGCCTACAATTCTAGATAAAAGAAAAATGATTGAACAAGAAAATCTCCACATAATACAAAGTGTAAATATGACAGCAAGAGTGGTTGAAGGACATACCGCTCATCCTGCATCTGTCGCACCAGGTTGAAGTATGGGACTGCATGAGTCCCCTGCCAGCCCTTCCAAAGCCGACTGCCTGGGGGTGTATGTATACAGCATCTGTAATATACCATTATATGCTGTGAGTACATTATATTATTATACAGGATTTATATAGCGCCAACAGTTTGCTCAGCGCTTTACAATATAACGGGAGACAATACAGTAACAATACAGTTCAATATAAGAGTGATTTAATGGCCCTGCTCCTTATATAGTATGAAACGTGTCTGTAATATACAGGTGAAACTCGAAAAATTAGAATATCGTGCACTTGAACTTGACTGGTCTGCACAAAGTCCTGACCTCAACCCCATAGAACACCTTTGGGATGAATTAGAGCGGAGACTGTGAGCCAGGCCTTCTCGTCCGACATCAGTGCCTGACCTCACGAATGCCCTTCTGGAAGAATGGTCAAACATTCCCATAGACACCCTCCTAAACCTTGTGGACAGCCTTCCCAGAACAGTTTAAGCTGTTACAGCTGCAAAGGGTGGGCCAATTCAGAATATCATGCAAAAGTTCATTTATTTCAGTAATGAAACTTAAAAGGTAAAACTAATATATGAGATAGACTCATTACATGCAAAGCAAGATAGTTCAGAATAGTTGTCATAATTGTGAGGATTATGGCTTACAGCTCATGAAGACCCTAAATCCACAATCTCAGAAAATTAGAATATTACATGCAATCAATAAAACAAGGATTGTACATAGAACAATATCGGACCTCTGAAAAGTATAAGCATGCATATGTACGGCAATTGAACCAGGTTTTGGTGCTTTTGCCAGTGTGGGCAGGTGCCAAGTCCTGCTGGAAAATAAAGTCAGCATCCCCATAAAGCTTGTCTGCGGAAGGAAGCATGAAGTGCTCCAAAATCTTCTGGTAGACGGCTGCGTTGACCCTGGACTTAATGAAGCACAGTGGACCAACACTAGCAGATGACATGGCTCCCCAAATCAACACAGACTGGAAACTTCACACTGGACTTCAAGCATGCTGTAGTGTGTGCCTCTCCATTCTTCCTCCATACTCTGGGTCCTTGGTTTCCAAATGAGATGCAAAAGTTGCTCTCATCAGAAAAGAGGACTTTGGACCACTGAGCAAACAGGCCAGGTCTGTTTTTCTTCAGCCCAGGTAAGACGCTTCTGACGTTGTTTGTTGTTCAGGAGCAGCTTGACAAGAGTAATACGACATTTGAAGTCCATGTCCAGGATCCATCTGTGTGGGGTGGCTCTTGATGCACTGACTCCAGCCTCAGTCTACTCCTTGTGAAAGTCCCCAACACTTTTGAATGGCCTTTTCCTGACAATCCTCTCCAGGCTGCGGTCATCCCTGCTGCTTGTGCAACTTTTTCTTCCACACTTTTCCCTTCCACATAACTTTCTATTAATGTGCTTTGATACAGCACTTTGGGAACATCCAACTTCTTTTGCAATTACCTTTTGAGGCTTTCCCTCCTTATGGTGGGTGTCAATGATGGTTTTCTGCACAACTGTCAGGTCAGCAGTCTTTCCCATGATTGTGATTCCTACTGAACCAGACTGAGAGACCATTTAAAGGCTCAGGAACCCTTTGCAGGTGTTATGGCTTAACTAGCTGATTAGAGTGGGACACTTTGAGCCTAGAATATTGCACCTTTTCACAATATTCTAATTTTCTGAGATTCTGGATTTGGGGTTTTCATGAGCTGTAAGCCATAATCATCATAATTATGACAAATCACGGCTTGAACTATCTTTCTTTGCATGTAATGAGTCTTATATATTAGTTTCACCTTTTAAGTTGCATTACTGAAATAAATGAACTTTTGCAAGATATTCAAATTTTTCGAGTTTCAGCTGTACAATATATAGTGACAGTATGTAATATAGTATGAATACACACATACCTCGAAAACACACTGTATTGCCAAAAGTATTGGGACGCCTGCCTTTACATACACATGAACTTTAATGGCATCCGAGTCTTAGTCCATAGGGTTCAATACTAAATTGGCCCACCTTTTGCAGCTATAACAGCTTAAACTCTTCTGGGAAGGCTGTCCACAAGGTTTAGGAGGGTGTTTATGGGAATGTTTGAACATTCTTCCAGAAGGGCATTCGTGAGGTCAGGCACTGATGTCGGATGAGAAGGCCTGGCTCACAGTCTCCACTCTAATTCATCCCAAAGGTTTTCTATGGGGTTGAGGTCAGGACTTTGTGCAGGCCAGTCAAGTTCCTCCACCCCAAACTTGCTCATCACTCGCTCATCCATGTCTTTATGGACCTTACTTTGTACACTGGTGCGCAGTCATGTTGGAACAGGAAGGGGCCATCCCCAAACTGTTCCCACAAAGTTGGGAGCCTGAAATTGTCCAAATTGTCTTGGTAAGTATCGCTCTCCTGGCAACCGTCAAACCCAGACACGTCCATCGGATTGCCAGACAGAGAAGCGTGATTCGTCACTCCATAGAACACATCTCCACTGCTCTAGAGTCCAGTGGCAGAGTACTTTATACCACTGCATCCAATGCACTTTTTGATGTAAGGCTTGGATGCAGCTGCTTGGCCATGAAAACCCATTCCATGAAGCTCTATACGCACTGTTGTTGTGCTAATCTGAAGGCCACATGAAGTTTGGAGGTCTTTAGCTATTGACTCTGCAGACAGTTGGCGACTTCTGCACACTGTGCGCTTCGTCATGCGCTGACCCCGCTCTGTCATTTTACGTGGACTACCACTGCATGGCTGAGTTGCTGTTGTTCCCAGTTGCTTCCACTTTGTTATAACACCACTAACAGTTGACTGTGGAATATTTAGTAGCAACAAAATTTCATGGATGGACCTATTGCACAGGTGGCAACCTATCACGCTACCACGCTTGAATTCACTGAGCTCCTGAGAGCGGCCTATTCTTTCACAAATGTTTGTAGAAGCAGTCTGAATGCCTAGGTGCTTGCTTTTATATGCCTGGAGGTGATTGGAACACCTGAATCCAATGATTTGGAGGGGTGTCCCAATACTTTTGGCAATATAGTGTATGTATATACCATAAATACATTTTAAATATTATCAGTAGGTTATATAAAATAAAACATGCACATGCCTGTAATATATACTCTGAGTACTGTACACCATATAGCATGAAACATACACACATCTTTTTTTTTAATAGTATGAACATACACACATCTTTAGTATATATTATATACTGTCAGTGGGTCATATAGTATTAAACATACAAACATCTGCAATAATCGACTTGGTACTTACTGCAAAATTCATTTCTTGGAGTCCACACAGGAATTCAGATACAGTTGGGTTATACTGACACCGGCAGAAAACAGTATGCCAGCCCAAGTAAAACCCCTTCTGTTTACTGTATGACCCCGTGTCTTTAATTAAACTAGAAATAAAGAAAATGATTTTATGGTAAGTACAAATTGACCATTTTCTTCTTCATTTATTAAGGGACAGAGGAATTCAGATACAGTTGTCCAAGACAACAACTGCTAACAAACCCCACAAAGAAGACTGGGGACTACCTGCAAGACCAACACCCGAATCTAAAACCGGATGAGTTGAAGCCCTCTACCAGATATAGAACCCTGCAAAAATGACCAAAGGAGGGGACAGGGAATCAATCTGAGGATCCAAAACAGGACAGAGGACACCTCCAGGCCAAAGTAGAGTAGGACACAGCTGGAGGTAAACGCCTCCAGAAGGGATCACCGACCCTGAATCAGCAAAAAAAAAAAAAAAAAAAAAGATCAATCAGAACCACCAAAACAGGTGGAAAAAAAAACAAATTCCCATGTAGGAAAAAAACTAACAACCTGATATATTAATCAGAAAGCACTAGGGACAACCCTCAGAAGGAACAAGTCCCAAGAGGAAACCTAGGACAAAAAACAGGTCAAGTGAGAAAGAACCCTCTGGATGGGAAGGCAAGTATGGAGATTAGACCTCGGCCCCATACTGGAGAGATATGATCCACCAAAAGAACCGAGAATGAAACTAAAACATCTTTTCTCAATAACTCTGCATAGCCTGCCTAACCGTGACCACAAGCCATGGGTCTAGGAAGCTCCTGATTCCCCCATTGCAAATGAAGCATCAACAGCCATGGAGCAAGAATCTTGGCATAATCGCTAAAAGCATTCGACTGATTAAGGGCAGAAAAAGGAAAGGCATCTAGAGGACCTTTCCCAGGTCCCTGTGGATCAGCCAAAGAAGGAGTACCTATTCCATGTGAACAGATCCCACAAAACCATCTGAACAGGAGAGGGATCCTACAGTGGACAGGTAGGGTGTTTTGCATGCTGACAATCCAGGAGGCACAGGTCTCTGGAAAAGAATGGGTGAACACCTTGTTTCATGACAAGGGATCTAAGTGCACACAAGGTGTGGACCATTTTAGTGAGTGATAAGCTGAAGAGCTTCATTCACCAGTGGCAGCTAGCTGCCAGTGATGGAACTTGGCAAAGCCTGATCTGGTGGTATCTTGTAGATGTTATTCTCTGTGATAAGGTATTGACTACAAGCATACATAAAGCTGACTCTCTTCAAAGGAGATTGTCTGAGCTCCACTCAGAATGCCATTGATTTCCAGGATGTACAGTCAGCCCCCCCTTGCAGAAGTGGGGGTGCACCTTTAAAGAGAAGACTTCTCTGATGGGTTAGGTGACCTGAAGCCTGTGCTCACCTACTGCAGAATTATTTGCAGAAGGGTAGGATTACTACAACCTACATTAAGGCAAGACTACTCTCTGGCCCCCATGGCATCCCTAATCACGGTATTAGGTATTAGGCTGAAGAGATTACATTCCTCCAAGACCAAGCAAATCAAATAGTCTTTGGATATGACATCAGTACCTTCTCGTAACGCAGGTACAGCAGTTCAATGGTGGCTTCTCTACTCTGAATGGCAGGAAAGAAAGTGCTGAGTGTTTGTGCACAACACCATTCAGCAAAGCTGAGCTGCAGTGCTCAGTTCATCAGAGTTTACCCGGAAAATGCCACATTGTAAAGTTCAGTATCTTAAGGCCACATTCCAGGCTAGCCCTGAACGGGATTACCACAGGCAGTGGTTTAGAGAGCTATCTTGAATTTTCAATAAAGTTGATGAAAGAGAAATCCAAAAACAGACTAGCAAAATGTGACTAGATTTTTCTCAGCAGAGTTGAAAGCATACTTGACGGAAGGGGGGGGGGGGGTATAATGGTAACTGGCTTACAATTTTTCTGTTTGCCAGTATCCAGTCATACTGTAGATGGCAGTGTAACCAGACTGTATCAGAATTCCTGTGTCCCTTAATGGACAAGAAAGAAATACCATTATACTGTAGATTGTCAATTCAATATAAAGTATAAAACATACAAACATCTATAATAAAAATTACAGATTGTCAGTATTTTACACAATATGGGATTAAGGGCTACCCTCTGAGTACATATAGTCCTTCATAGATTCTAGTACAGAGCTCACCTCATACCAGTAGGAAGGGCTCCCCGTGAGAACTCTTAGAAGGATATCCACTATGAACTCTATTACAGAGCTGACCTCAACCTGGAGGGAAAGGCTTCCTAGTGTGTATCTCGTAGGAGGATATGGATATCCACCATGGATTCTAGTACAGAGTAGACCTTGGCCTAAAAGGAAAGAAGTCCTTGGTAGGTACCCATAGGAGGATAAGGATATCTACCTTATACTATAGGAAAGGGCAGACCACAGCCTGGGGGGGAACTGTTCCCCAGTGAGTACTCGGAGGATAAGGACAATCACCATGGACTCTAGCATATAGCATAGAGCAGATCTTGGCCTAGGGAAAAGGGCTCCCCAGTGGGTTCTTGTAGGAAAATAGGAATAGTACAGAGAAGACCTCTGCCCAGAGTGGAAGGGCTCCCCAGTGGTTATCCATAGGAGGATAAGGATATCCACCATAGACTATAGGGAACAAGCTCACCAGTAAGTACTCAAGCGAGGATAAGGATATCCACCATGTACTCTAGTACTGGGCAGACCACAGCCTGAGATGGAAGGGCTCCCCAGTGGATACTCATAGGTGAATAAGGATATATACCAGTGACTACAGTACAGAGCAGGCTCCGGTCTGGGGGAAAGGGCTCCTCAATGGTTACTCATGGCATGAGGACATCCACCATAGTTTCAAGTACAAGACCTCACTCTAACGGGGAAAGACTCCCCACTGAGTACCTGAAGGAGGATAAGGATATCTACAGTTGTGCTCAAAAGTTTAAATACCCTGGCAGAAATTGTGAAATGTTGGCATTAGTATTGAAAATATGACTGATCATGCCAAAAAAACTGTCTTTTATTTAAGGATAGTGATCATAAGAAACCATTTATTATCACATAGTTGTTTGGCTCCTTTTTAAATCATAATAACAGAAATAACCCAAACTAATAGCTTTGTTCAAAAGTTTACATACCCTAGAATGTTTGGCCTTGGTACAGACACACAAGGTGACAAACAAAGGTTAAAAAGGCAATTAAAGGTTAATTTCCCACATCTGTGGCTTTTTAAATTGTGTCAGTGTATAAGTAGTCAAATAGTTTGTTAGCACTCACATGGATGCACTGAGCAGACTAGATACTGAACTATAGGGAGCAGAAAAGAATTGGCAAAAGATCTTCGTAACAAGGTAATGGAACTATATAAAAATGGAAAAGGATATGAAAAGATATCCAAAACCTTGAATATGTCAGTTAGTATTGTTCCACCACTTATTAAGGAGTGGCAAGATCAATGATCTCTTGATACCAAGCCAAGGTCCGATACACCAGGAAAGATTGCAGCCATAACTGCCAAAAGACTTGTTTGGGATACTAAGAAAAACACACAGGTAATCACAGGAGAAATACAGGCTGCTCTGGAAAAAGATGGTGTGGCTGTTTTGAAGGAGAGCAATGCGACTATACTTGAACAAAAATGAGCTGCAAAGTCGAATGGCAAGGAAGAAGCCTTTACTGCGCCAATGCCACATAAAAGCACAGTTACAATATGCCCGACAATGCCTTTAAACACCTCACCAGTCTTCTTTGTGGCATTGGCACATGGATGGCTGCAGTAACAGGTACACTGATAAGCTGCACTGATGGCTGCTGTGACAGGTACACTGATGGCTGCGGTGACATGTACACTGATAGACTGCACTGATTGACTGCGGTGACAGGTACACTGATAGACTGCACTGATGGACTGCTGTGACAGGTAAACTGACAGGCTGCACTGATGGCTGCGGTGATAGGTACACTGATAGGCTGCACTGATGGCTGAGGTGACAGTGACACTGATAGGCTGCATTAACAGGTACACTGATGCTGGTAGGTTATATGGATCCTGTCTAAATTGTCCCTAGTATGTGTATGTATGAATGTGAGTTAGGGACCTTAGATTGTACGCCCCTTGAGGGTTAGGGACTGATGTGAATGTACAATATATACTGTAAGTACATGGATAGGCTGCACTGATGGCTGCTGTGACAGGTACATGGATAGGCTGCACTGATGGCTGTGGTGAGAGGTACACTGATTAGGGTTGCACTGATGAACTAAGGTGAAAGGTACACTGCTTAGGGCTGCACTGATGGGCTGCTATAACAGGTACAAGTACACTGGCAGGCTGCACTGATGGATGTTTTGTGACAGGTACACTGACAGGCTGCACTGATGGTTGCTGCTATGATGGGTACGCTTTTATTACAGGGCTGATTATTATTATACAGGATTTATACAGCGCAAACAGTTTGCTCAGCGCTTTACAATATAACAGGAGACAATACATCAACAATACAGTTCAATACAAGAGGGATAGGAGGGCCCTGCTCCTTGGAGCTTACAATCTAATGCCTAATCAGGATTGATTAGGCAATCAGGGCACAGTATTAAAGGGGTTAAAGTGGTAACCCACTGTTCCAGTGTTCTCCTCCTCAAACAGGTATGTGTGTGAGGACGAGAAGCCAGTAACAGCAAGCTACCACTGTTTGTTGACATCATGTGATTGGACACAGGGACACACCTCACTACTGATCACCACTCTGCGTACTGAGACACGGAGCACGTCGAATGACGTCCACCTGAAGGGACGAGAGGCCCGCCCAGCCGTCATTCTACTACAGGATGGAAGGGAAGGGGTTAAGTAAAAGACAGTTTTTTGGCATGATCATTCATATTTTGAATATTAATGCCAGCATTTCATGATTGCTGCCAAGATATGCAAACTTTTGAACACAACTGTACCTTAGATTAAAGTGCAGGGCACCCTCAGTCCAGGGGGAAGGGCTCCCTAGTGAGCACTCTTAATAGGATAAGAAAAACCACCATGGACCCTAACACAGAACAGACCACATTCAGGAGTAGGGGCTCCCCAACGGGTACTTGTAGGAGGACAAGGATATACTCCACTGACAAAAGTTCAGGACAGACCTCAGTGAATACCTTTGAAGGATAAGGATAACCACTATGAACTGTAGTGCAGATCAGAGCGGACCTCAATCTAGAGGAAGGGCTCCCCATGGGACACTCCTAGTAGGAAATGGATAGACCATAGACTTGTACAGAGCAGACCTTAGGCCTGTGGGGAGAGATCTCAGCGGGCACTGAGAGGAGGAAAAGGTTATCCACCATATGCTCACAGAGTACAGAGTAGACCATGGTCAGAGGAAGGGCTTCACAGTAGGTACTCGTAGGAGGATAAGGATAACCACCATGCACATTAATACAGAGCACAGCCACAATTACATCTCTAATACAGGAAGCCCAGTGTCAGCAATGTACACAGAACAAGTTGTCATTCTTACCATGCAACTCTGCTCCAAGGAGCCCCATCAGGCGAGAGAAGGTGCCCAGCTGTGGGCTCACCTTGTCCAAAACCTGGAAGACCAGCCGGATCCTCTCTTCTGTCATTGGTTGGAAACTCACCGCCCCTTTGTCTTCCAGTAGCTGAACCAGGTACTGATTGGCTGAAAAGTCAGAAAACACCCAAGTGAGACTAGCAAATATATTGCAAAGTGAACAGTGTGCAGTAACCTATAGCAACCAATCACAAGGCAGACCTCTGTTGAGTGAGTTTTAAAAGCCGTCAGGCACATATTAAAGGCATTGCATCAAAATGTCCAAATATTTTCTATCGCCTCCCTCCAAAATACTCACTTAATCCAGTGCTGTACCTCTCTGTAGAGGCACTCTCCTTTCTCTCCCTGCATTCACAGGACAGAGGCAGCAGCCGGGGACATTGGTTGCTGCTGCTGTTGATCAAATACTGTGAGAAGGGAGAGGGGGGTGGGGTCGAGCTGTATATGTCAATAGATGCACACAGCCTGGATTGGAAGCGAGCCCACAGGTGCACCCCCATAGGAAGCAGCTTCCCATGGTGGCACACAGAGTAGAGGATGCAGTGGTGGAGGAACCCAGAAGAGGAGATTTGAGGCTGTTCTGTGCAATAGAGCACAGAGCAGGTAAGTATACCATGGTTACTAATTTATTTTTTTATCCAGCAACAAAACTTTATTGAAGAAGAGAACCATTACATTGCTGATAAGCTATGTTTATTATTAAAAAAATATATATATCCTTTCCAACTGCTTTAACGGATAAAGGATCAGTTTACCTTTGGGAACATGTTACCTGTGATTATTTTATTTATTTTTAGACATGTAAACTTATCCTTTAAGCTGGCCATACACTGTAATTTTAAGTTCATCCAGCAGTCCAGATTCCTCCATTCACACAAATGAGTTGAATAGAGGAATCCCTCCTGTCAGGACTACTGGTTTAGCAGGGACTGGAAAAATTTCGATCAGTAAACGGCCAGCTTAAAAATACATAGTACATGTATACACACTGTGACCAGCAATACACACAAAAACACCTCTGACCTACCCAATCGTATAGCAGTGAATATGGTCAGCCTGATAAAAATGATCTGATCAGTAAGTATAAGATTGTATATGTACAAGGCGGTGTAAAGTGTTCTCATTACATATAATGCTGCGCAGAGACTGTGCTTTACTGTTATTTCATCTTAGTAGAAGTCCACCTATCTCCTCAGATTCTATGTGGCTTATACTTTATCTCAGCAGGGATGATGACTGCACTGCCTATTTCTTGGAGACACACTAAAGGCAGAAAAAAACAAATCTATATATGTAAAACAAATATGGAACAGCAATCATGAAAAAATGTTAAAGTTTTGTTACAAAACTTCAGGATAATGTTACAATGATAAACACTGAAATCAGAATAGAGAGCCCATACTTCAGCTCCTACCTGGTGATTTTGCATCGATGATATCCAGCGGGATGGCTGAGCTTCCATTGGCTGACATGCTGATAATGAGACACAAGACATCTGTAGATGAGATGGAGACATGAGGATTATCACCAGCACTACATCATGCAGTTAACATTGTGTGCCAGTCTCCATCCTGACCACGCAAGATTGGGACTCATCTATCAATGTCAAAAAAAGCTGACATTTCAGTCTCTCTGTACTCAATCAGCAACCAATCAGGGTCTCTCAGTGCTGCATAGGAGAGTGAATGTAAGAACTTTATCGGCTGCATCCTGGTAGGTGACCACCAAGAAACATGGCCAGCATGGCGGTATTGTATGCAGTGCTGAGGTTCTGGATTAAATCCCCACCAGAGATTATCTGCATGCAGTGTTCATGTTCTACTAGTGTTTATCAGAATCCCTTGAGTGCTCGACTCTCCCACCACAATTCAGTGTGTATGACCAAACTACCCCTCCCCCCATATCTGACCAACAGTGCATACTAAGATCACTGGTGTACACATTTAGGCTTGGTTCCAGGGGCGGACTGACAACTCATGGGGCCCCCGGGCAATAGGGGATCATGGGTCCCCTGTGTCCTTGCCCAAACTCAAAAAAGCCTATGAAAAAGGTACCAGGGGCATCACATGGGGTCCCCTACTGACCCCGGGCCCTCGGGCAGTGCCTGAGTTTCCAAATGGTCAGTCCGCCCCTGCTTGGTTCACACCTACTGGTAAGACTAAGCACGGGTGTTTCTCTGTGCAGGAAAAAAAATTAACTACGGCACCATGTGGCTTGGCACATGTTTACAGATGCATGGGGGTGGCATTAACAATCAATGGCATCGCTGCACATTTGCTAAAGGGCAGCACATTTCTGTGTGTGTCGGGAAACCGCATAATTTTGCACTCATTCATGACACGCATAGCTGTGAACCAAGCCGTACCCTTGAGGTCATATGGATATGAATATACACAAATATACACGCACACACACATATATATATATACACACATACATACATGATCCGTGAGACATGCAGCATCAAATAGCTATGTACATGACAGACATGATATCTTACACAGGTGAGCTGGAGACTTGGAAGAGTCAAGTACACAATACTGTCACCATAGCAATAGGGAGGAGTCACTGTGGAGCCCAGCCCACATTCCACAGCATCCCATCATAGCACAGATTATGGGAGAGGACGTGAAATGCCAACCATGCGCACACACTCTGTGGCTGTTCTGTGTGGATCTGATGGGGAAAATCTGTTTCCTGATCAATAAATACGGAACTTTTATTTACTGTTTGCAGCACTCTGTCTAACTCTAGGTCAGTGCTGGGGCTGCTGCTTCTGCATGTGTTTTTCAGTGTGTTTGTATAGTGTAACTTTGCACGTTTTTAATTCTTCGTTCATATTTTTTTGTAGAAGGAAACTGGATTTTATACACAAAAATCTTCCAAAAACGCATGTACATACAGTTTACATACACTCCCATTGAACCGAAGCAGAACCTGCACCATTTTAAAAACATGCTGCAGCTGCGCTGCATTGAAGTTAAAGGGCATCATAGAGAATAATGTGATTTCCACTGTTGTGCAGTACAGTGCGACACAAAACACAGGAGAAAATGGATTCATATTACTGTTCTGGCTACAGCAAACTAAATGATTGGTTGGTACGGGTTACCTGGAACACGTGTGTGACATAAGAAGGGTTACATGTCACGTGGTACACTGTGCACCATAGACTACCGATATTCCATACACCAATCAATCATATCTCATGGCTTGTTCATACCTGTCCTGTCCACTCGCAGGTGTGAGCGTTGTAGCGGCAGTGAGGGGTGGTATGATGAGCTGTAACACCACATTACACTGTTTATATTTTTTTAGAACTATACTGAAGTGTCACAAAATGACACTTTTTTTCAAGTCTACGCGCCGTAGCGCATTGAGTAGCAATGACGTGCAGTGTTTTGCACCATGTACAAATGCAGGCATGCTGCAACTTTATGCAGCACACAACACCGCAATGCAGCATTATGGTGAACCTGCACACAGAAAACAATTGTTTCTATGTGCCCTTGTGTTGAGCCCAAGTTGATCTATGCAGATCAACGCAGCTCTACAGAGCCATAAGTCTTTCTTTTAAAGCAGTGTTCTGTTTAAAGTGGAGCTCCACCCAAAAGGGGAAGTCCTGCTTTAAGGAACCCCCCCCCCCCCCCAGGAGCAGTTACCAGATTTTGACAGGTACCCGCTCCCACTTCTGCTCTGACTGCCTAGGCGATCGGAAGAGGACGTTCTTCTCCCCCCTCCCCCTACAGTCTTCTGGGACATGTGACAGGTCGCAGAAGTCTGTTGGACCATTCACAACGTGCAGCACACATGCTCGCTCATGCGCAGTATACACTCAGCTGTGAAGCCATAAGCTGTCGCAGCCAGGTGCCCACAGTTAAAGCGGAGCTCCATCCAAAACCCAAAAGGGGAAATTCCGCTTTAAGGACTGCTCCCCCGCTCCCCAGTAAGGATTGGCACCTTTGGGGAGTGGGTACCCGAATTTGACAGGTACCCGCTCCCACTTCCGGTCCGATTGCCTAGGCGATCGGAAGAGGACGTTCTTCTCCCCCTCCCCCCACAGTCTTCTGAGACATGTGACAGGTCCCAGAAGACTGTTGGACCATTCACAACGTGCAGCACCCGTGCTCGCTCATGCGTAGTATACACTCAGCTGTGAAGCCACAAGCTGTCGCAGCCAGGTGCCCACAGTTAAAGCGGAGCTCCACCAAAACCCAAAAGGGGAAATTCCGCTTTAAGGACTGCTCCCCAGTAAGGATTGGCACCTTTGGGGAGCGGGTACCCAAATTTGAGAGGTACCCGCTCCCACTTCCGGTCCGATTGCCTAGGCGATCGGAAGCAGAAAGTGTCCTCCCTCCCTGTAGTCATTTGGGACACGTGACAGGTCACAGAAGACTACAGGACCATTCATGAAGAGCAGCGCTATTCGCGCATGCGCAGTGGGTACCTGGCTGTGAAGAATTAAGCTATCACAGCTGGGTGCCCACACTGAAGCTGCGGAGGACACCGGTGAAACAAGCTGCGGAGGACACACCACGGGACCGAGGGACAGGTAGGTGGCTGTTCTTTAAAAGTCAGCAGATACAGTTTTTGTAGCTGCTGACGTTTATTTTTTGATCGGTTGAGTGGAACTTCGCTTTAAGATTCCAAGGACAGAGACGGCTGGTGAACCTGACTGGGGGGTGAGCCCACCGCTGGATCAAGTGACAGGTGAGTGTTTGTTTTTTAAGTCAGCAGCTACAGTTTTTCAATCCACATTAAATACTTTTCAGAGGGTGATTGACAGGCGGTGAGAAGGCATTAGATCGGCTCCTCGCCAGCTGTTTTATGGGGAATCTATGGTTGTGGCATATGCTTTCATTTTTATAATTTGTAATAGTAATACAAATAATAGTTATTTCTGACAATCCATTAAAAGCTTACTTGAAAATTCTCCCATCGTGTTGTCAGCTCTGCCTGTTTTCTGACAATCTCTTTCCACAACTTCTTGGATTCCCTGCATGTTTTGCATTTTCTGTTTCTCTGCTGTTTACCTTTCTAAGGACTACATAATCCATGGTACCTTTCTGCCTGCAAGCAGTGATTCCTGTACTGATCTGCCTCCTCGGAGTCCTCCTCTCAGCACATGTACTTCAGAAGGCAGGCTCTGTGAAATGTGTGACCCAGCAGTGCCTACACATAGGGCATAGTGAATACATGTCACAGAATTCCAGGAAGTAAATGTGTGAGGATCTTCACGAATGAAAGTTTACAAACATCAAGATCATACAGATTATTATGAGTAGGCTAGAAATAACTGTAATACAATGTGCACATGAATATGTGATATTACATATGACCATAGATACACTTTAACATCTAACTTGTAATGCGAGTGAGAGATCACAAACACATAGACAAATACAGCCAGAGAGGCACTCTATCTTAGTCAACCTTATAGCTGGGCTAAAGACAAAAATACTTACCTTACTTCCAATGGTCCGACACCGGCATCTTCTCCCTCTGAGCTGCGCGTGCACGGAAGTGCAGTCTTACCGGCATACAGACAGTGTGCTGGAATGTAAACTGAGCTGTGCGTACGCAGGTCTGCGGTCATCCCGGCACACAGGCAGTGCAATAAAGAGCCTGCCTGTTCACAATTTTTATTTCAACTTCAGTTACACTTTAGGAGTAGGTTCACATATGTGCACGCATAACTGCACATGCACATTGCAAGTACAGCAACCCATTCATTTGGAAAAGTCTCCAACCCTTTTTTAAAATGCGCCGCAGAAAACTGCATGGTGCTTCAGCACTGATGCATGGCGGTGATGCTAATGCATGGGGGTGCAATTAAGAATTAATGGCACCCCCACTCTTCTGCTAAAGAGCAGCATGTTTCTGTGTGGGTCAGGATCGTATAGGATTATGCATGCAATTCCGACCCACACATATATGAATTTAGGATAAAGAGGAACTTTATCAAAAGCCGGTAGAAACTACTTAGTAACCATCAACTATTGAGACCATAGACAGTTTAGTCAGGAGTATGTAATATTCAATGGCCAGCACAATAGAGACATATAAAGGCTGGGTCAGGGCAGCTCATGCAGACCAAATAGCATGTATAGCTCTTGGACCTGGGTGGTCTCCTGTGCCGCAGTCACCATTATAACTGATTCTCTTTTACAACTGGGCACAGAGTACCGGGGAAGATGTCTGCCTAAAGGTTTGCTCCAGCCATAGACAGTTCAAAATTTGGCCGTTTCAGCAGAAACTGCCTGAATTTTGATCCAGGTATGGGCAGCGTGGTTGTGCTGAAGTCGATCTATCGATAAACTTCAGTAAAAGTCTGTTGGGTTCTTTTGTTTGAGCATTGCTGGAGGCTATAGCCGCAAGGAGTTATCATTGTATTCTGACGGTTGGGAAACCTCCCCCTGTCAAAATAAAATAGCTCTGCAGGAGGGATTCCCCCCATCAACACATTCAGTGGCAGGGGTCGAAGGAAAGAAAAAATGATTAATGTATGGCCTACCTAACGTCTTTTTTTCTAGTTTTGGACATAACGGGAAATGTTACAATCTCTCTCAAGATTTATTGCTGTGTCCCGCTGGAGAGAGATTTATCCTATTTGTCCTGTGCAGGTAGAGGTTGAAAAGTCAAACTTTTACAGCTGTCACCAGAACAGGAAATTATGGCTTCCAGTGGAGATGCCTGTTCTGGTGCGATCTTCCTTCATTTTAAAGATTTCTACTCACTTCCTATTGTATCTCAGGGACAGGAAGTAAGAAGTAAGTTTCAACCCTTTTACACTATGGCCAACGGGGCAGCACAGTGGCTATGTGGTTAGCATTTCCACCTGGCAGCACTAAGGTGATTGGTTTGAATCCCAACCACGATGCTGCCTTTGTGGGTTTCCTTTAGGTAATCCGGTTTCCTCCCACACTCCAAAGACATACTGGCAGGTTAATTGGCTCCTGTCTAAATTGGCCCTAGTATGTGTATGTATGAATGGGAATTAGGGACCTTAGATTGTATGTATGCTCCTTGAGGGTTAGGTACTGATGTGAATATATAATATAGGGACTGATGTGAATGTATAAAAGTGCAGTGTAAATTGACGGTGCTATATACAAGGGTTAGACCAAAAAAACCTACATGAAAGTGACGACATGTTTCGTGTAGAAAGCAGCAGTGATGTAACATTCTTTTGCTTCTGCTGTGTGATGAGACACCAAGTTAACAGATGGGAAGCCTCACTTTCATCATTCACTGCGTGCCCTGCTAGTAATATTGAGTCATGTCAGAGTTTACTGAGCTTCAAAGAGGGCAAATTGTTGGTGCCCGCTTAGCTGGTGTCTCTGTGACTGAAGTTGCCAATTTATTTGCCGCTTCGCGAGGTACAGTTTCAAAAGCTTCGGGGAAAATGACATCTGATAAGCATAAGCATGATCAACATGGTCAACTGAGTGAAAGAGACAACAGGACACTGAGCAGGATTGTGACCTGGAATAAGAAAACAACTGCAGAAAAAGTGACTGCAGAGCTCAATCTCAGTCTTGTGAAGACCAAGTCTGAGATTGAGCTTTGCAGTCACTTTTGCAGCAATTGTTTTCTTTTTCTGGGTCACATTCCTGTGCAATGTCTTTTTTTTGCCTACTTTGAAGCTCTGTAAGCTCTGGCATACTACTAGCACCGCACACAAAGTGGGGCTTCCCACCTGTTAGCTAGGTGTCTCATCACACAACAGAAGCAAAAGAGTGTTACATTACTTCCTCTTTCAAACCAAAACTTTCACTTTCACACCTGCAAATCATGTAGTGTTTCCATTTTTTTTGTCCAACCCCTGTAAATACCTGTAATAATAAATAACCAAAAAAATAAATAACAAACATTTGAGTTCCACTTTATGGCACAATTGGGAGATGCTAGTTGTTTGGTTGAAATGTTGTGACAAAAACACACATGATCAGCTGAGCTTTGGGCTCCTTTCAGATCTGTGTGGCTGCATTCTTTTGGTTCACATTACTGCATGTAGGGTAACCCATTCTGCAGCACTTGCTGTTTGAGGTGCACAGAAATGTGAGCATTTTGCTGGTGTGTGTGGGTGCCATTAAGAATTAATGGCACCCCCTGCGTCTGCTTAAGCTCAGCGTGTTCCTCTTGCATGTTCCCAGCATGCTATAATGTGCACCTAGCCTTTATTTTGATGGCTGTCCTACCCACAGAAACATGTTGCATGGTGCCAAAGCATGTTTTTGCACCATGCGGTTTGGCATGTGTGAAAATGAACCGCAGGTGCCGATGCATGGGCATGCTATTAGGAATTGCTGACACCTCCCCACACCTGCTGTAGTGCAGTGCATTTCTCTGTGGGTCAGAAATGCGCATGCTGTGCATGCGCTCTCCAGCCACAGAGATGTGAGCCTAGCCTTATCATTTATACTCTGAACAGTCATCCTCCCCTGTTGGCCTAAACTCCAAAACATGAGCCAATCTTTCCTGGGATCAGAGGTGTTTGCACAGGTGCACATACACCGCATGCATTGAAGTAAAAAATTATTGTGCTTAGTATAATGTAAAGGATTGTGTTCTGTTTTGAACGGCGAAGGTTAAAATGTGTACAAACACTGCAATTGTAGTCATGTGCTGATCACTGCTTCGTCTGTTTCCATGCAGGGAGGTGTGCTGAGCACAGAGCAGACTGCAGGCGGAGAACACACCAATCACTGTGCGTCACTCAGCTCTATAGAACCAAGCCCGTCCAGGGATTTACCGGCAGCCAATGACAGCTGGCTGCACATGCCTTTCCTGGGAGAAGCCAGGAAAAACCCAATCCAGGCTGAGCTTTTATTCACTGACATTGCTTCAGCTGCATGGCAGATCAGGAAGTGAATTGCAGAGCTGGTGACACAAGTCACCTTACCCGGCTGGATGAATTGATCTGTGGTGACAACTGATTGATTGCTGGGCGGAGTCCGGTCTGTCATGCTGTGACATTCCAGTATCTGCTCATTTGTGTGTGAGGCTGTGCTTGGCTTGACATGTGTGGCAGTGTGCTGTCACTGCGGGTCCTTTGTGTGTGCAGGCAGCGGCTGGATCAATGCAGGCCCTGAACGGATGAAGGGATGGCAAGATGAATGGTACAGCGATGGTCAGTTAGCTTTGTTACATCTCCCTCCTCTCTCCTGAGCACAACGCTCATTCCAGCCACACAGAGCCATGTTGGAAGAGGCTACTCAGAAGTGGCACCCCCACCATGTCCAGGTCACAGTGTTACAAGCACGGGATCTGCATCCAAAAGGCAAGCATGGCACCAACGATGCATATACCATCATCCAGCTCGGTAAGGAGAAGTATTCTACCTCAGTGGTGGAGAAGAACCTCAATCCCATCTGGAAAGAAGAGGCCTCTTTCGAACTGCCGGGCCTACTTGTCCAGGACAATCCCGAACAGTACCAGCTACAACTGACAGTCATGCATCGCTCCTTGGTGGGCCTTGATAAGTTCCTGGGACAGGTGACTATTAACCTCAACAGTATCTTCAAGAACAAGGAGCGACAGAAGACAGAGTAAGTGTGAGTTAGTGTGGTAGATCTGTGTATTATAAATCTCAGCATTGATTGTCATTCGTCTTGCTTTGAATGTAATGTGGAAGTTGTTTCATTGTTTACTGAAACCATGTCACAGTCGAGGACCAGAAGAACAAGTCTGACATTCAGCACAACCTGCCCATCTGGAGGAATGTTTCTGTATCTCTGTCATCGCTCCATTACCTGCATTCCTGGACCCAGAGTCATTCTATTGTAATGCAGAATAACAACAAGCTTCATCTAATCTCACATATCCGAACACTGACATGATAATCACTAAGAGAGTTCGCCAGAGAGTAAATAGACTCTGCGTACCAGGAGAGGACATGGGTGATAGTTATCATCCAAGGCAGGGAAGGACAAATGAATATTACAGCTCACATCTTTCTCTTGCTAGGCCAGACAGGAATGACAGCACAGTGATATGGCTAACCCTAACCCACTGGTAGTTATTTACTCTCACAATACTCACGTTTTTATGTGTATTGTAGTAGTATTTTTTCAGTGTGTTACAGCGTGAGTCCAGGTCTATGGTGTCTATACTTGTGCATTACTAGTGTTGTTTAAAATTAACTGTACTGAGGAAACTGTGACAGGTGGTCTGATGACTGGTGGGGTAATAATAGAGGTGAAGGAAACACAGATCCACAGAATGGATGAAACTAAAGCAGGGAGATCCTTGCACTGCAGGTCCTCATGGACAGCTTTCTCTCCAGCAAAAAAAAACAGCATGATAGTGACATCACCAAATCTCACTCCAAATCAGATGCGACTAGCAATCAGAGACAGCAGAGCCATAGGTGATCTCACACTGCAGATACACTATATTGCCAAAAGTATTGGGACACCTTCCTTTACACGCACATGAACTTTAATGGCATCCCAGTTTGAGTCTGCAGGGTTCAATATTGAGTTGACCCATCCTTTGTAGCTATAATAGCGTCAACTCTTCTGGGAAAGCTGTCCACAAGGTGTAGGAGTGTGTCTATGGGAACGTTTGACCATTCTTCTAGAAGCACATTTGTGAGGTCAGGCACTAATGTTGGACAAGAAGGCCTTGGCTTACATCTTCACTCTAATTCATCCCAAAGGTGTTCTATCAGGTTGAGGTCAGGACTCTGTGCAAGCCAGCCAAGTTCCTCCACCTCAAACTCGCTCATCCATGTCTTTATAGAACTTGCTTTGTGCACTGGCACGCAGTCAAGTTGGAACAGGAAGGGGCCATCAAACTGTTCCCACAAAGTTGGGAGCATGAAATTGTCCAAAATGTCTTGGTATGCCAACACCTTAAGAGTTCCCTTCACTGGAACTAAGGGGCCAAGCCCAACCCCTGAAAAACAAACCCACACCATAAAGTACCATTCTCCTGGCAACCGCCAGACCTAGACATGTCCATTGGATTGCCAGAGAAGCGTGATTGTCACTCCAGAGAACTCGTTTCCACCACTTTACAGTCCAGTGGCGGCGTGCTTTACACCACTGCATCCACCGATTGGCATTTTACTTGGTGACGTAAGGCCTGGATGCAGCTGCTCGGCCATGGAAACCCATTCCATGAAACTCTCTATTATTATTGTTATATTATTATACAGGATTTATATAGCGCCAACAGTTTGCGCAGCACTTTACAAAATGAAGGTAGACATTTTGGTACAGTTACAATACAATTTGGTACAAGAGGAAACAGAGGGCCCTGCTCGTTACAGCTTACAAATTTACGCACTGTGCTTGTGCAAATCTGAAGGCCACATGAAGTTTGGAGGTCTTTAGCTATTGACTCTGCAGACAGTTGGTGACTTCTGAGCACTGTGCGCTTCAGCATGCGCTGACCCCGCTCTGTTATTTTACGTGGCCTACCATTTCGTGGCTGAGTTGCTGTTGTTCCCAGTTGCTTCCACTTTGTTATAATACCACTAACAGTTGACCGTGGAATATTTAGTAGCCAGGAAATGTCACAGATGGACTTATTGCACAAGTGCAACCTATCACGGTACCACGCTTGAATTCACTGAGCTCCTGAGAGCAACCCATTCATTCACAAATGTTTGTAGAAGCTGCATGCCTAGGTGCTGTGACCATGCAGGTGATTGGAACACCTGAATCCAATGATTTGGAGGGGTGTCCCAATACTTTTGGCAATATAGTGTATATAAGACTGCATACTACATATCAGGATGGTTTTTGAGGGACTGCTTAGGCACACCTAAAGTGTAACTAAACCTTTTGTAGCAAAAATTGCTACAAAAGATTTTTTTTTTTTTGCAGAAGAGATATGCTTTGTCTCTTCTGCAATAAAACAAACTTACAGTACATATCTGTTCCCAATGTTCTTTGAACATACATTGAACTGTGCATGCACAGCTCAGCATACATTCTTGGTACAGCGCAACTATGTCATCCCCACTGACCCAATCAAGAGGCCAAAAACCTGGTACCAGGCAGAAGCCTGGGGAAGATGTCAGCAGCCAGCAAGGAATCCAACAGTTGCATCGCTTTAAGATAGCATATCTTCAATTTTGGAGTTCAGGAGCTGCTTTAAAGAGACTCTGTCACTTTGCCCAGTTTGGCCTCTAAAACCCTTTCACAGTCACCAACATAAGGCTTATTTTTTGCAGCAGCTGTGGCATTTACACACCCTCTTGGCTGCAGTAGCAGCCAAGAGTGTGTGTATGTTCTATCAGTCGAATGTTGGATGTCTTGTGGAAGTGATTCGGGCAGCTGTAAAGTCACCAATTATATTCTATGGGTACGGTAAATTGTCACCTCCCTCCTGCCATGTATCCTGAGCTCCGCTGTCCTTCCTGGGCACCTGGGACCTTCATGGTAGGTGTAAGCAGAGAGAGCTGATCATCCCTATAGTGAATGAAACTGGAAGCGACAAATATTTAATCACTTCTAGTGTCAATGCTGTCATGCCCCGGCCACGGTGGCTGGGGAGGAAGCAAATCAGGAATAGTATGTGGAAAATAACAGACAAGAAGCTCACTCTCATCATGCATTACCGTGGTAAAACACGTATTTATTGAATAAAAAGAGGATATATACTCACAAACCAACGTGATTAAAAGCAGCATAAGTGGTCCACAAAGACAGTCACAATACATCTGTGTCTAATGATGTGAATGAGCTGATGCGTTTCGGGAGCTGAACCCCCTTCCTCAGAGCTCTGAGGAACGGGGGTTCAGCTCCCGAAACGCGTTAGCTCATTCACATCATTAGACACAGATGTATTGTGACTGTCTTTGTGGACCACTTATACTGCTTTTAATCACGTTGGTTTGTGAGTATATATCCTATTTTTATTCAATAAATACGTGTTTTACCACGGTAATGCACGATGAGAGTGCGCCCTTGTCTGTTCTTTTCCACTAGTGCTCAGATTTCCCGATCTTAGAAGGGCTGCACCTCTTTGGTTGGCATTTTGGCATCTGCTTGGTTGTATGAAGACTGGAGCGCTGGTTACGTTTGTTTATCATTTGCAGGAATAGTATGTGCTTGATTAGCTTCAATGGAATGTATAGCTGACATTAGAGGTTAATGTATAATTAAAGAGAACCTGTCGCTTTCATTATGCTATCAAAAAAGGGGTTTGTCAGTCCTTTTAATGATAACAGTAAAGTTAGAAAAAAAAGTTTAAAAATTTAAATAAGATCAATTAAAAAAATTAACCACTTATGCTCTTGAGGATTTACTCCCCTTCATGACCAAGCCATTTTTTGCTGTTTGGAACTGGGATATTTTAACTGGTAATTGCACGGTCGCGCAAAGCCGTACCCAATCGAAATGTGTCTCCTTTTTTCACACAAATAGAGCTTTGACTTGATCACCTCTGCAGTTTTTATTTTTTTGTGCTATAAACAAAAAAAGACCGAAAAATTTTTTAAAAACCCTATATTTTTCACTTTTGGTTATAAAATATGTCCAATAAACTCAAAGTTAGTCATAAATTTAGGCTAAAATGTATTCTGCTACATGTCTTTGGTAAAAAAAAAATCTCAATACATGTATATTACCGTATTTTCACTCCATAAGATGGACCTGACCATAAAACGCGCCTAGGTTTTAGAGAAAAACAAGAAAAAAATATTCTGAACCAATGGACTGCAGACAAAGTACAGGAGATGACCAGAGACTGCAGACACAGTACAGGAGATAACCAGAGACTGTGGACACACAGTACAGGAGATGACCAGAGTCTGCAGACATAGTACAGGAGATGACCAGAGTCTGCAGACACAGTACAGGAGATTATTATTATTATACAGTATTTATAAAGCACCAATAGTTCGCTCAGCGCTGTACATTACAAAGGGGGACAGAACATATGACAGAACAATACCAATACAATGCAAAACATGAGGGGATTGAGGGCCCTGCTCTTTGGAGCTTACAATCTAGGAGGGAGGGGATAGTGGTACAGGAGGAGATAGCTGTGGGGGATGGAGTGGTAGGAAGAGTGGAGGAGGTCGGTCAAGTTAGCAGGGGATAGGGTAGGCTTCCCTGAAGAGATGGGTTTTCAGGGTGCGCCTAAAGGAGAGGAGAGTAGGTGATAATCTGATGGGTTGGGGCAGGGAGTTCCAGAGGATGGGTGACACCCTGGAGAAGTCCTGGAGGCGGACATGGGAGGAGGAGACCAGGGAACTAGAGAGAAGGAGGTCTTGTGAGGAGCGGAGTGTGCGTGCTGGGCAGTACTTGGATATTAGGTCAGTGATGTAGTTCGAGGCAGTATGGTGGACGGCTTTGTACGTCAGTGTTAGGATTTTGAATTTGATCCGTTGCGCAATCGGAAGCCAGTGGAAGGATTGGCAGAGGGGGGTGGCGGAAACGGAGCGGCTGGAAAGGTGAATGAGTCTGGCAGCCGTATTCAGGATCAACTGAAGCGGGGATAGCCAGCGGCGAGGCAGGCCAGTGAGGAGGGAGTTGCAGTAGTCGAGTCGTGATACGATGAGGGAGTGGATGAGCTGTTTAGTGGTTTCTGGGGTTAGGAACATGCGTATTTTGGCGATGTTGCGGAGGTGGAGTCTGCACGAGTTTGTTAAAGATTGGACTTGGGGCTGGAAGGATAGGTTGGAGTCCAGAATGACACCAAGTAGTCTGGCCTGCGGGGCGGGTTTGATGGTGGCGTTGTTGTTGGATGTGATGGAGAAGTCAATGGGGGGTGGGTTTCCGGACTGGGGGGAAGACAAGAAACTCGGTTTTGGAGAGGTTCAGTTTAAGGAAATGGAGCGACATCCAATCTGATATGTCACTCAGTAGGTGTGTGATTCGGGCAGAGACAGAGGGGGTGAGGTGGGGGGTTGAGAGATAGATTTGTGTGTCGTCGGCATAGAGGTGGTAGTTGAAGCCGTGAGAGTGTATGAGTTGGCCAAGGGAGGAGGTGTAGATGGAGAAGAGAAGGGGCCCAAGGACAGAGCCTTGAGGGACCCCAACAGAGAGGGGGAGTGAGGGGGAGGTGGTAGCATTATAGGTAACGCTGAAAGAGCGTTGTGACAGGTAGGATGAGAGCCAGGAGAGAGCAGAATCTCTGAGGCCGAGGGAGTGTAGTTTTTTGAGGAGGAGGGGGTGGTCGACTGTGTCGAAGGCTGCGGAGAGGTCAAGGAGTAGGAGCACTGAATAGTGGCCATTAGATTTGGCGGTTAGAAGGTCGTTGGAGAGTTTGAGTAAGGCGGTTTCGGTGGAGTGTAGGGGACGGAAGCCAGACTGTAGGGGATCGAGGAGGTGGTTGTCGTTGAGGTGAGAGCATAGGCGGGTGTAGACGAGGCGCTCGAGGAGTTTAGATGTAAAGGGAGCAGGGAGATGGGTCTGAGGTTGTTCGGGTCATTGGGGTCCAGGGAGGGCTTTTTAAGTATGGGGGTGATGTGTGCATGTTTCAGAGGGGGGGGAAAGTGCCTGAGGAGAGGGAGAGATTGAAGATGTCGGTGAGGGAGCGTAGGATGGAGGGGGAGGGAGGTCGTAGGAGTTGTGAGGGGATAGGGTCGAGGGGGCAGGTGGTGAGGCGGGCATCAGAGAGGATCTTGGAGACTTCCTCGATGGTGGTAAGGTCAAAGGTGCTGAGTGTTGGGGGAGCTTCAGTATGAGGAATGTAGGGTGGGGTGGAAGTGGAGGTCAGAGCAGTGGTGGGGCCGTGGGAGAGGGGTGATGAGGGGGTAGCTGAGTGAGGGGGAAGGGGGTTGGAGGGAGTTTGAGCAGCGACGAAGTCCCTGCGGGTTATGTCGAGGGGGAGGAGGGATGAGGGGGTAGCTGTGTGAGAGGAGACGGGTTGAGAGGGCGTGTGAGTTGCGGCAATGTCCTTGCAAATTGTGTCAATCTTGTTTTTGAAGTGATTGGCAATCTCAAGGGCGGTGAGTGAGGTGCTGGGTGGAGGTGGGGGTGGAGAGAGTAGAGAGTTGAAGGTGGAGAAGAGTCGGCGAGGATTGGAGGAGAGGGTCTTGATGAGGGTCAGGAAGTAGGCTTGTTTGGCTGCGTGGAGGGAGAAGGTGTAGGTGCGGAAGGCAGATTTGTAGCGGGTAAAGGCTTGTTGGGATGTTGTTTTGCACCATAGTCGCTCCAGGGCACGACTGTGTCGTTTGAGGGTTTTGGTGTGATCAGTCTGCCAGGGCTGGAGAGGTCGGGGTCTGATGTTGCGTGTGGTTAAAGGCGCTAGTGAGTCAAGGGCTGTTGACAGCGCGTTGTTGTAGGCAGTCATGGCCAAGTCGAGGCAGGACAGGGGGGAGGATGCGGTCATGGAGTTGATCAGCTGCAGAGTGGAGGGGGGCAGGGTTAAGGTTGCGGAGGTTACGGCTGGTAGTAATGTGACATTTGGAGGGGTAGGCTTTGGAGGACGAGGAGATAGAGAAGGTAATCAGGTTGTGGTCAGAGAGAGGGAAGGGGGTGTTAGTGATGACCAGAGACTGCGGGCACAGTACAGGAGATGACCAGAGACTGCGGGCACAGTACAGGAGATGACCAGAGACTGCGAACACAGTACAGGAGATGACCAGAGACTGCGAACACAGTACAGGAGATGACCAGAGACTGCGAACACAGTACAGGAGATGACCAGAGACTGCGGACACAGTACAGGAGATGACCAGAGACTGCGGACACAGTACAGGAGATGACCAGAGACTGCGGGCACAGTACAGGAGATGACCAGAGACTGCGGGCACAGTACAGAAGATGACCAGAGACTGCGGGCACAGTACAGAAGATGACCAGAGACTGCGGACACAGTACAGGAGATGACCAGAGACTGCGGACACAGTACAGGATGACCAGAGACTGTGGACGGTACAGGAGTACAGGAGTATGACCAGAGACTGCAGACAGTACAGGGGATGACCAGAGACTGCAGACAGTACAGGGGATGACCAGAGACTGCAGACAGTACAGGGGATGACCAGAGACTGCAGACAGTACAGGGGATGACCAGAGACTGCAGACAGTACAGGGGATGACCAGAGACTGCAGACAGTACAGGGATGACCAGAGACTGCAGACAGTACAGGGGATGACCAGAGACTGCAGACAGAGACAGGGGATGACCAGAGACTGCAGACAGTACAGGGGATGACCAGAAGACAGTACAGGGGATGACCAGAGACTGCAGACAGTACAGGGGATGACCAGAGACTGCAGACAGTACAGGGGATGACCAGAGACTGCAGACAGTACAGGGGATGACCAGAGACTGCAGACAGCACAGGGGATGACCAAGAGACTGCAGACAGCACAGGGGATGACCAAGAGACTGCAGACAGCACAGGGGATGACCAAGAGACTGCAGACAGCACAGGGGATGACCAAGAGACTGCAGACAGCACAGGGGATGACCAAAAGACTGCGGACAGCACAGGGGATGACCAAGAGACTGCGGACAGCACAGGGGATGACAGGACTGCGGACAGCACAGGGGATGACCAAGAGACTGCGGACAGCACAGGGGATGACCAAGAGACTGCGGACAGCACAGGGGATGACCAAGAGACTGCGGACAGCACAGGGGATGACCAAGAGACTGCGGACACAGGGGATGACCAAGAGACTGCGGACAGCACAGGGGATGACCAAGAGACTGCGGACAGCACAGGGGATGACCAAGAGACTGCGGACAGTATAGAGGATGACCAAGAGACTGCGGACAGCACAGGGGATGACCAAGAGACTGCGGACAGTATAGAGGATGACCAAGAGACTGCGGACAGTATAGAGGATGACCAAGAGACTCCGGACAGTATAGGGGATGACCAAGAGACTCCGGACAGTATGTGTTTTGTTGATTAAAGTAAAAAAATGGCGGTCCAGGATTTGGGGAAATGTCTCCAGATGTTAGGAGAAGCAAAATTGTGAGAGAGGTAATATGGGAGTATGACTTATATGGAGGGGCAGGTTCCAGTGTCCTGGAGGGTTTATTAGTATTTGGGTTCAGAATTAGCAAGAGTTGATGAGTACAGTAGTAAGGTGAAGACAGGAGTGAGGGTGATATATATAGCTGTGGTATGGAGAAGAGGGGTGAAGGAAGAGAGTTTTTTTTGAGAGAGGACACAACTGTGAGAAGGAGGAGTAGAGAGTACATGTTACATTTACCCATAAATTTGGGTCAGACAATATAAGGAAAATAAACACCACAGTAATATGGACCAGAGTTAAAGATTTTTGAAGCAGTAAAAATGACCAATAAGAACATTGATAGTTATGAGTCAGCTTCAGTTAGAGGTGGATTTTAAAAGCAGTATAGATTACCATATAGCAGTGAAGGGTGAATTAGCATTCATACATGGCATGGGCGATAGTACAGATGGATATTGCTCGCATTTACCATATAGCAGTGCAGGCTAGGCCTATATATATATATATATATATATATATATAAAGTATCAGGTATGTATTTAGGGGGGGGCTGGGGGTAGCTGCATGCAGAAGGTTTTTTGCCTTAATACATAGAATGCATTAATTTAAAGAAAAACCTTTTGCCTTTAGAAATACTTTAACTCTGTGTTAAAACTGAATTTAGGGCACAAAAATCCTTTTATGTGAATGGTAACTCCACTTCCATGGGAAGGGAAATATAGAAAAATGGCAACCTGGAGGTGGCCTGTACACTTTCCTGCTGTTGTGATTGGCTCAATGATTTCCTCAGAATTCTGTACAAAGATACTAGTCAACTTTTAGGCACCCCTGTAATAAGAATTTACACAGTGCACCAACTGATTATAATGAAGCAGATTTTCTCATTCAGATTCAGTATGGAATCTGTACGGCCCGGTGAAACAAACAGCTATTTCTTCACAGCAACAAAAGGTAAAATCTGCTACAAAGTTAAAATGTTAAAATCCGTGCAGCGTACATTGATCACTAGGGATGAGCTCACAGTTCAGACCTAACACAAGTTTGGACCGAAATTTGGCTATTTAGGCCAACTATGTACCCCATGCGTAATTCACTCTCCTTATTGTTAAAACAGGCTCCAGATTCCAATAAGCCCTCCACCTACAAATCCATCAATCACTGGGTCAGGGTTGTGGGGATAACTTGCTTTGCTGTGGAGGGGGTGGAGGGGGGACACGAAGGCATATTGGCCGGTACAGTTCGGGGAGGGAGGATGTCCCTGCCTTTCCTGACCAGCCAAGCTGCATGCTTAGATTAGGGGTTTGGTGTAGATTCTTGGGGAATGTCATGCATTTGTTTGTGTTTTTTTTTTTTTTTGCCTGGAGTACCCTCTTAAAAATCCATACTAGACCATACCATACAAAAGGGTCTGCTTTGCGTTTGGAGAAACTCTATGCAAATTTCTTGTGTTACAGCAAAAGTGACATTTTCAAAGAAAAAAAATAGTTTAAATTGATGACAAATTACGTTTCTTTTCCATCTTCTTTTAAAAAGGGAGGGGGGGGAATATAACCACAGCAAACAGACCCATCTGAAGGTCCCCGAAAATATATAGCAGACCCTTGAAGGGGTCTGTGTTTTCTTTTAAAAATAAGTCGGCAATGAACTGTCATTTAGTCTAGGTTCACACCTATGCGTTTCCCGCTGCGTTTTGCGGAAAGGCACAGCAGTCCATTTAACATGATTTCCTATGGGACAGATTAATATCTCCGCGTTTTCACCCGGTGCGTTTTTTGGAAAGGGTCAGGGATTTTTTAAAACACAAAACGTTGCATTTTTGGTTCTATGGAGTTCAATGGAGACGCTGCTGAAAAGCATGTAGTGCATTTTTGATGCATTTTTTTACGCATTCTGTGATTTAATCTGCCAAGAAAAACCCCTTCCCCCAAAAGAAATGTATCAGATGCAAACTGCATAGGTGTGAAGCTATCCTTACTAGCAATTTAATACACTTTTTTCCTTTGTAGATGTCAGTGCTGCTGCAGAACTTTCTGTACATCACAGGGATGTATCCCTTTCACAGGCAGGATTAGGTCACACCCCCCCCATTTTTTATGGTATGTTTCCCAGGGAAGTGTTCACCCCCATGCTATTTTTTTAACCCCTTGTCTATTAGCCCTGAAAATGGGCACTTTTAATTTGAAAGATTTGACTCCCATTGATTTCAGTGGGGTTCGGGTTCGACATTCCATACTTCACTGACATTTCGGGATCCCTGCCTGAACCAAGCCCAGGGCAGTTTGGCTAATCCATATTGATTGCCAAGAGGGGATTGTTTCCTGTCAGCAAAAGTGGAGTTACTCTTTAATCACAAAGAATATAAATCCACTTTGTGTGAACCGGATGCCGTTGCAAACCCAGACATAACTTTGTAAAAGTAGCAATGATATCATTATTGTGGTGCAGCCCTTACAGAGAGCACAGAGCAGTGAAAGAAATCCAGTAGGTCCACACACTACAGGCTACCTGTAGAAAACTACAGGGGGGGGGGGGGGGCAGAGACAAGTCCAGTCACCCTGCATATGTACAGAGATTAGCAGTGACTGGTCTTTTTCCTTCCTTCAACCCACACCTCACTACAGGACTTAGCATTCTTCTCTGTCCTCTTTTGTGGTGCACTTGCTCTGTGTTTACATTTCAATTAGAAAGCTGACAGGCTGTCAACTCATTGCTGGGGGGCACAGTTCAGGGATGTTCCCCTTTAAATTTACTTTGAATCAAGTAAAACATATCACTGTTTCCTGCCTGTGATGGGATTTATTTTCTATAAGCTGTTCCTTGACTGTTGTACTTGGAATGTACTGACTGACTGCATAGACTTCTGGGAGACTGATGCCCACTGCACTGTACTGATGGTATTATCACCGTGAGTTTTGCCATGATAGAGTTTGAGCCCTGAGTTGACGGGCATTGGACCTGTGTCAATGGGTAAATGAAGACATCCGTTTGAGACACTTATGAACTCACTCACAATACAACAAGTGCATCTGACCTGTTTTCAGTTGCTCTTGCATTTCCATATAATATTATAGTGAGAAAATGAGTTCTAATGCAATCGAAAGACAATCAACACAAGTCCTTATTACAACAATAAAAAGACCTTTGCCTGAGGTTTAAGCCTCATTCACATGGCATTTTAACTCCTGCAGCTAGATTCACAGGTAGTTGCAGACAGTTTCAGCCGCTCACAATATATGAAGCAATGCAACGCTAACAGTGGCCACAGTTCGAGGGTGTTTGCATGTAATTGCCACATGGAGCGATTATCTGCAATTAGGGACAGATGAGTACCTCTGGATGCAAACAGCATGCGTTCAGTGGTAACGACGGGTAATCACTCCATGTGCGAATACATCCGAACACCGGTGGACAGCTGTTGCCACTGTCAGCCTGTCATTGCTTTGTATGCACTCAGTTGCTGCAACTGTCTGCAACTACCTAGGAATCCAGCTGCAGGATTCTTGCCACACCTGGAGTTGAAATTCTGTGTGAATGAGGCCTTGGGAGCTAGGCTTGGATATAGGGCTAGTTTTACAAGTGAAGAGTAGGGGCCAGAAAGTACCACATTTGGTTGCAGTAAATTTTATTGGGGGAGGGACCAATTAGTTCTTCAGGTTTGATAAGTGTATAAGGCTACGTTTAGACATGCAGCTGTGATTGAGGATCGCTTTTCAGAGGCATTTGACAAGCGGTGAGGAGGCAGTACGTCACCTCCTTGCCATTTGTTTTAACTCTGTAAATGGTGAACCACTGCACTGCAGCTGTGTACATTGCACCCTGTTGTGGCCTCATTCACTTGAATGGGTTGCATTCAGCAGTGGTACTTCCTGCTAAACGTGACAGGGGATCATTTTTTTTGGTCTGCAGCCTTGGCATGTATACATCCCTCTCTAGCTGTCTTTACAGCTTAAGTTGGGGCGGGGGGTCCGATAAAAACACAGCTGAACCGCCTGGTTATAACGTCCCTAATCAAAGTCTAAATGAGCTCTAATGGCTTTAATAAAATCTATTAAAGCTTTAAACTTCTGTGCAAAAATATTGGCTGCAAATTCCCACGCCCTAAAAATCCAAGGTCATTTTTAATAATCGCCAAGTTTGTTCCAACTTTATCTCAGGGAGGCAGTAGTAATCGGACCAACAAATCCAACGCAGCTGATTGAAAGTGTTCACTTCTATCGGTCTTTAAAGCATCAATTTAGGTTTTGCTTTCCAGACAAAGCTGGTGTAACCTGAATGTGACTTGGAATGGGGGGGGGGGGCGTCAAGGGCTCTCCAGCTATTTTGATGAA